CGTATGCGATAGTATTGTAAAAAAAATGTTAACAGATTTCTAGTGGCAATAACCGAATAAATCTGATTATGGTCATTTAATTTTTGTATCAAATCTACTATCACACCATTGAACACTTAGGCGCCGCTCAAGAATCCGGATATTTACAGATACTATCAACTAAAGCACATTATATATCGTTAATTAAGGTAAAGTAAGCTTAGCGGAAATAACATAAAAATAGATTCCTGTATATAAAATTAAATTAAAAAATTTATTTATTATATAAATTTTAGAGTAAGGAATCAGTATATTACTCTAGAATTGGACGCCATATTAAACATGGTGTGATAGTAGATTTGATACAAAAATTAAATGACCATAATCAGATTTATTCGGTTATTGCCACTAGAAATCTGTTAACATTTTTTTTACAATACTATCGCATACGACGGCAAACATTACCTAAACTATCGATTGACACACAATTCTCCACATATTTAATATCCATTGGTTTACAAAAACATTCAATATATACACACGAGTTAAATAAATTGTAAATATTTTTAATTAAAATTATTTTTATTATTTAATAATTAATGTTATAATAATATCTTACTGTTGAAAACTTGTAGTTTATCAAACGTACTAAAATCTGGCTTGATGGACCAATGGACCAAACGCCTATATTTTAAATTATTTAACGTGGACTTTAATAATGACAAATATAATCATCATATATCCGCTGGCGTGCGAACCGAATCATCTACGTTAGATTTTGTTGATTTAAAAATATTTGCTAGAAAGATATTAATCTTATGGGCATGCTCAATAATTATATTGATTTTTGAATATAACACTCTGGTGATTATTAAATTATTATATTTATATTAAACCAACTTGGATATTATATTAAACTTTTTTATTGTAATAAAATTATGTTAGTAACTTTTTAGTTATACACTGTATGTTCATTGTACCCAAACTACAGTATAATAATTAATATAATTTAAATATGCAGTACTATCAGCGATAGTCTATTAAATATAAGTTAATTGTTAAACAAATAAGTTTGTTATTAATTAATATTTACAAAATTAAACAAGATTAAAACCAAATATTACAATTACGAGTTCGCCGAACGACACCCGGAAATATTGGTCGGCCGACACTATCGCCGAATAGCCGCCACTCCGGCCGTAAACTACACAATGCCAACGGACCGTCTGTTCCCAGTTATAAGCCTCGGTCCCGTTAAAGGCGTGAGTTATATGTGTGGCCATTGACTCGTAACTGTCTGTTCGGAGTATGGCATCAATGGATACAGTTATGGCCAGTCGGCGCCGATTGTCGCACATGTCGGTAAACTTGCTCTCCATGTGATAGTTGTTCAGACGATTCCGGGCCCTCTCTATCACGCCTGCCATTGACTAAAAGTATACAATGTTGGTTAATTGTAATTATCATATTTAAATTAAAACTACTGGGATTAATTAAAATTAATAATTTTAAATTATGTTTTAACTGTAAATTACTTGAGATAGTATCTACAAAATAAAGGTATAGTATTTAGTTAACAAGTTAAAATAACCTGTGCATATTAATAATGTTTAAACCAATTAAAAAAGTAATCTAGAAAAAATTAGTATTGTAGGGGCGGACTATACCCCACAATTTACGGTACATTCACAAACAAAAACTTACAGATTTCTCGCACATATCCCTTAACCGCGAATTCTCGGCATTTAGTCTTTCCCTATCACTCAACAGGTGTTGACAGCAATCGTGTGTTTCAGCGGTTGTCATATAAAAGCCACACGTTTTGCACCGCATATTATGGGGACAGTCGGCCATATGTCCGGCCAATTGACACCTTTTCAACACCTCTTGACAACCGTTGTTATGGTAACCACACTTTACCCTCATGTTATCGATCAGGTTCATGACAAACCTGGGCGCCGGCACTAGAGTGGCCACATTCAGTGGGCGCCTGTCGTTGGGACACGTGTTGCGCTCCCTTAGCCACCGGTGCACGCAATCAGTACAGTATGTATGTCTACAGCATAGGGTGACCAACGGTTCCCGATAGAGGTCGAGACATATGCCGCAAGTAAATTCATCGAGGTAGTCCTGGGACACGTCTACCACGAGTGATTTGTCAAAACTTGGCATTTGTTTTAACACTATGTGAATTATTTTACTCGCAAACTATACAATGTAAATGTGTTTTGTGTTTAGGTTTTGCAAAAATACAATATGGTATTAAAGTGTTAACATTGAACTGATAATAACATTGTAAATCATTGTCACGCATGCTGTTATCGGACAATATTATCAAGGTAATTGTATGTGTGCTGCTATTTTGTCATTGTAAATGTATTGTGATTTAATGAGTATGTTTACATGGTATGGTTTTAGTTTGATGGAACTTTTTATTTAACATAGATCACACCATCTGTTATTATCAATTAATTTTATTTTTTACATTTTAACATTTTGATATTTAAAGTTTATTATTTTTTTATTGTTACAAAAATTGGAAACCATAGAAATTCAACGAATTAAACATAATAAAATATTGTCAATTGTATTAAAATTTACAATATCAAAATTTCTTTATATAACACATCAAAAAATAATTGTTATTTAAAATTTAGATTAAAATATGACTAAAATAAATAATACAATAAAATGCAAAACTTATTTGTTAGTGTAAATAAAAATGTTTTTATTGTAGCAATTAAAGTAATATTAACATTTAAGTTTAAATATTTAAGGTATAAATAATTAAAGAATTATGATAAAAATTTTTGTTACTATAAACTTTAATTTATAAACAGAGATCAGTTTGTCTGTCAAGTATTTTATTATTTTATTAAATAATGCTCAATCTAATGGGAAAATGCTTAACAATTGCCACAACAAGGGTATTTATAAATAATACATATTAACGAGAATGCAACATCTATAAAAATTTTTAATATTAGGCGAGACCGTATATATTTGTTCCAGAATATCCTGGCAATAAAACTACCATGATATTTGGCGGGATTGAATATAGTTTGCTGAATACACTGCGCGATCAGTGGAATTTTACCATCATGGTAATTAATACTTACAGTAATTGGGGTACAAAAATGGCCAATGGTACATTTGATGGCATTGTTGGATTGCTACAATCAAAAGTGAATTTAATAAAGTAAATTTAATTGAAAATAATAAATAGTTGTTTATGTAATAATTATAGAAAGCTGATGTAGGTATAGGAGAGTTAAGTCATACCCTTGACAGGAGGGTAGCCGTGGACTTGAGTTACCCACACATAATAGATGTAATCACATTCACATCTCCCACACCAACACTAATCCATTTCATAAGTCTATTCAAACCGTTTGACAC